TTTCCTAAATTTATTCAAATCTGTAATCAATCAAATCTTTCTAAATTTGCAGAAAATCATATTTTTCTTAATTTGCCGCAAATCATATCTTGCCGACATGGACCAACAACAATATTAGCACTCCCTACATTCATATTATCAGACTTCTTTTGAAACCAAAGAGGAAGAAACCCAGGATTCAATTTCCAACACTTGTCTTTAGTGTGTTTTGGTTTCTTACAATACTCTCAAATAATTTCTTGCTTCCCTGAGCCACTTGGAATTCCTGTAACTCCCTTAGGTTTCACTCCCATATTAGCAAAGTGTTCATTTAGACCAACCCCTTGAACCTGGACAAGTCTCCTGTTTTCTTCACTACTTACCAAGGCATAGGCTTGAGACAAAGAAACACTATCCTTGAATAAGATATTTTTCTTTGTGATGCCATACTCTGGATTCAGCCCTATCAAAAATTCAAAGACCATGTTTCTCTCAACAACTTTCCTGTAGGTCTCAGCAACATTAGTGGTGTCCTAGGCAACAACTTCTATCAAATCAATTTCTTGCCAATAGAGACTTCAGTATTGAGAAATAAATAGCTAAAAGTTTCTCCCCTTGTCTCAAATTCTTCACATCACTCCTCAGCTTGTAAGCCCTAGCTACATTTAATGTCTAAGAATAGTCTTCAGCAACACTATCCCAAATTTCCTTTGTTGAATTCATCCATAAATAGTGTTGGCCAATCTGAGGTTGCATTGAGTTCACAAGCCAACCAATAACAGTATAATTTTCTTACATCCATTTTTCATATGATGGGTCATCTTCGGAGTGAGACTTTTGTGTTTTCAGAGATAAAACCCCATTTGCCACTACTGCAGATATGAATTTTTATTGATTGTGACCAAGCCAGATAATTAGTTCCATCTAGCTTGATTATGGTCGCAACCAGTAGAGAGTCAACAGAGGCTCCGGGAACCTATCCGGATTCAACAACATGCTTGTTTTCAATTTCTGAAGGGTTCATCTTCTTAAAATACTTCAAAAATAACTTCTGACAACTTCGAATAAGAACAAATGTAGATAGAAGAAAACCTGTGTTGTGAGTCAACCTCTATGCAGCCGTACCTACTACTTGCGTCACACCCGGAACCCGAGAGAAACAGAGAAATCTCAACCGCACCTTGTAGACTTCACGAAACACCAATCCACTTGAACCGATCTTCAAGATGAAGGATAAGAAGACTTTCAGTCACTGAGCGCCCAGGTCAAACTCCCTATGGAGCCCGCAATCAGATTTCTCCAAAAAATTAAGGTTTCGGGCAACACACTTGAATCTGCCAGCAGGACGACAAAACCAGTCCCCTTCTCTCCAAAAACCATTAACAATTGGGCTGAAACAAGTTTCTTTAACAATTTATCCAATTCAGTTCTCCATAGACACTGTGTATGGGAAAAAAGAGGTGAAAAGGGAAAAAGACGAGCCTGCTCTGATACCAAGAAGAAAAACAGTCTTTTAAAATGAAAGGATTGTTTAAAATGTTGTAGAGAATCAATAGAAAGTAGCAGAAATTAGGTTTCAAGAAGAGAGAAGAGGAAGAAGAAGGTGGCGGCAACAAGGATTCAGAGAGAGATTTTCGAACATAATCTCCTCTTACACCCATATCTCATTTCATTAAGTTAAACTTTAATAATTTGCAGAGAGCCCCTGGTTGGGCATAAAATTAAAAACATAACATAAGAAAAAATAAGGGCCCAGATTAAGGCCCATTACAGCAAAGAGCATAACAAGATAAAGAAGGATAAACAGCCTATGAGCCATTCAGCCCATCTTCTCTACAAATTCAACCGAATATCCGATTTGAATTATCTGAATTCGATTCGACTATGCCGAATCTCGGATTCGAATTCGGATTTTCGAATACCGTTTACAGGCCTAGAGATGAAGCTTCGATCCAAAAGGAAGATGACATCTCTATGTCATCGGGCTTTGAACAGGCAAAGAAAGCCTTGACCAATACCCGAAAAGAGGTTAGAAAAGAGAAGCTCGGGGTGGAAGACAAGGAGAAGAAGGACTTGAGTGGGAGTTCTACAGTGGATTCAGGAGGGAGTTTAGGGAGTAACGATGGAGGAGTTGTTAGTGGTTCACTCCTCCAGGCTGCACAAAATAACTTTGCTAGACGGCTTTATGAGGAAGTGAAGGTTGGAAGATTAGGTAAGGATCTTGGACAAAAAAGGGTGACAGAGAATGCGACAATTAACTCAGCTGAAGAATGTCACAAGAAACCACATGGGGCCAGGAATTCACACATCATTCACATAACCAAGGTCTTCTCTCGTTTGAAGTTGGATTTGGTGGGTATAGGACCTACAAAAAATTACGAAAAGGTCTACAGAAGAAGAGGATAGAAGGCATTGGTAACTCCACACCTGGAAGAGGATGGTAGGACAAACACTCGATTTCTTACAAATTCGATTTCTCAGACTGGAATAATACATCATGAAAACGAAATTGATTCTGCTGGCAGTGCTGAAGTACGTGATCATGTTAGAAGCCTAAAAAAGGAAGGGTTCAGAAGAGTCCCTATCGAGAAAGTTGTGGAGAGAGAAGTCAAAATAGGTAAAAGTCTTGGTCAATGCTTTTGGGGGAGGTGAGGAATTTGCCAAGAGGGCCTTTGAGGAGTATGAGGGGAAAGAGGACAGAAGAGAGGCTGAAGAAATTGGAAGCTAGAGAAAGAGAAGACAAGTGGGATGAAGAAGATAATGGGCAGAAGGAAAGTTTTGAGGAGGAGGATTAGGAAGCCTTGGCGTTTGGGCTTTGCTTCAGGGCCATTCGATTAGGAGCAGGGCACAGGTGGTCATCTTGGAGTCTTTTTTTCTTTGTTTTGAATATTTTTGGTATGTCAATGTCTTTGGGTGTTTTTGTCTTTTAGTGTTTGTTTTTTCTCTTGGGTGATTTCTTGTCACCTTTCTCTCTATATTCTCTTTTTATTTTAATGAATTTTCTTTGATCCTTCAAAAAGAAAAAGACTATCCTAGTTGCTAGTTTCTTTGTTTTTTATATCTTTCCCCCCATCTTCTAAGGGGTACTAAATGCCGAAAAATTGACATGATATGATTTATGAAGATACTTGTATCTTTCTCAATTAAAAGAAAAACAAAAAACCAAAAAATATCAAAGAATTCCTCCAACATTTCACCTCTCTATCTATACTTGTTATGACCATATACATTTGACAAAACCGATATAAATCCTCTACCTATGGATTTGTCTTAGTTTAAAGGCAATTAGAAGCTGTTTTGGTCAGTCCCCTAGTCCTAATTGAAGTCTGTAGATGGGCATCCAAGTTCTCATCGTGAGTCTATAAATAGTCATTGGAATTCCTATCTACAGGAGTTTGATTTGATGAAATAAAATTTGGTTTAGTAAATTTTGGTTGTTCCAAAGAATCTCTCTCTCTCTCTCTCCTGTTTCTTTTTCTATGTGATTTGTCTCTTTGCTTTTAACCCTAACAGTTAAAGTTCTCTTTCTTTCTATTCTATTCTTCATTCTGTTATGCACAGGATATAGGGGTGATCCGTGATCATGGGCCGAGCCTGGTCCAAGCTGAACTTAGCACCTATGATAAGAACTATCCCGTGTTCCTTTTCTAACTGATCTATCTCTTTTCTATTTAACAACAAGAATTCTCTTTCTTTTCAATCACCTGGTTGTTCTTTGGTAGTTAGCAAATAGGCATGATCATGAGCTGGGTCAAGCAAGCCTCAAGTCAATCTTAGCACCCATAATAAGGGCTACAGCCAGGACCCTGGCCAGGTTTGTAGGCCTATGCCTTTAAACACATTACATTAAATATGTATAAAATACATGTTATACTGTATATAATATAAAATAACACACACACACATACATATATATGCACTAACTGAATAATAATTTTTTGAGAAAAAGGTAAAGTATCCATTGATGAAGAAAAGGATGCTCACATAAATCAGAGCACCCCAAAAAACAATACAATGACTGTACAACTGTAAATATGAATGGTGTCCAAAACAAAACAAAAGGACAGACTACCCTTGTTCATGCATTGTAAGGTGGTTGATTCAATGTGAGCAAGGTTCACCAATTTATTCAAGGCTGTGGGCTGCTTCCCCGGTAGCCTAGAGTCTCCGTTGCCAAGCTGAATGTAAACGGCTTATCAACATAGGGAAAGTGGTCTAGAAATGTGTACCAGCCATGGTGATATGGAATATTTGGAAGGAGAGAAAATCCCGCATTTTCAACAATCTGGTTGGTAGTGAAGAGATTTTAATGTCAAGAATAATTGGGACTGTCATATCTTGGAGTTTGGCTTATAAAGAATATTTTGCTTTGGGGAACAGCTCGGTTTTGGTTTTTGAAAATTTGTAAAGTATTGGGAACAGGCAAAGTCCGAGCTTCCATATTACCAATTCCCTTCTAGTTGCCACTGGGATACCAACTTATAGTAGTCCCACTTAGCTCTAGGTACCTTTTATGTTAATATAAAAAGTTTATTAATAGAAAACAAAAAGGAGTAGTACATGAGATCAAGGTGTTTATATACTCAAAGGTAAAACATGTGAAAATTCAATGGTCTCCCAAAAACTGCCTCCAAATTCTGACCTAGATGTCTGAACAAAATCTGGAAGAACCAGCACCCATCAGCCACAATTCTTCCATTCCTCCTAGATCTGTTTTCAAGCAGCTAGGTATTAGAAAGAACTGGACTGGCACTTCTTTGGACCCAATAGTTAATTAATGACTAAACAAAGTACTATAACCTTGGCCCAGCCAATTTGTTCTGGAAACTGAATGGACTGGTCCAAGTGAAGCCCCCTAATGCGATTCAACATTGCCCATGAAAAAATGCGATGCTACATAATCACAAGAAACAAAAATAATTACATAAAACATTTATACGGATCAAGATTATACAAGTATAAGATGAGAATTTCACAGTTGGATGAAAGCTTAGTATGTATGGAATAAAGTATTTTCTCACCTCTTCTCCTCTGCTTCCAAGTGTCAAGATCAGCAGGAATAAGGCCCTTCCCCATTATTGGTTCTAATATATCAGCAAGAACTCCCTGATTAACATTACAAGCACATAAATAGGAAAATTAGAAAAAAATAAACAATTTCTATAAAATATATTGGTCAAGGAAATGGTAAAATCTTGGGCTGGCAAAAGTGGAATTAATCCAGTTGAAAGTGGTGAACATTGAAGGACAGGCTGAAATTCTTGAATGCAAAGTGGGAAGTCTTCCTAACACATATTTGGGCCTACCTTTGGGAGCTAAGTGTTTGGCAAAGAGCATATGGGATTGGGTAATTGAAAGAAAGGCTAGAAAGCAAGCAACATTGAAATGTAAGTATCTCTCAAATGGGACTAACAAAAACTTACTGAAACGTACCCTATCCCAATTACCCACATATATCCTATCATTATTCCCAATCCCAACAGTAATTGCGGAAAAAGTTGGAAAAAAACCCATGGAAATTTTCTCTGAAGAGGGTGGCAGGAGAAAAATAAAATCCATTTGGTGCAGTGGTACCAAGTATGCTTGCTTGAATAAAAAGGAGTTTTAGGAGTCAAGAAAATGAAGTGAATGAATATTGCTTTTCTTGTAAAATGGTTCTGCAGATTCAGCTCACAGCCTCATCTCTTATGGAGACAGATCATGAGAGAATTGTGGTGCTAGAAACTTCAATTGGAATCCAGGTATTGCTGAAGGGCCATATGGTTGCTCCATTTGGAGAGGAATTGGAAAGTTCCATACTAAATTTCTTCAAGGCATCTAGACGAAAGTGGGAAAGGGGGACAAATCAATTTCTGGAAATATGTGTAGTATGAAGGCTAAGCTTTAATGGAGAGATTCCCTTCCCTATATATCCTTGCAGAAAACAGGGATACCAGGGTGGTTGACTCGTATGAAATTCAGGATGGGGTTGTGTCCCGGTACCAAACTCTAAGAAGGAGCTTGAATGATTGGGAAATAAAAGAGCTGCCTTCTTTTCTCAGTATGCTTAATAGAACCTGTCCAAAAGCAGACCAAGAGGATTCAAGAAGCTGGAGATGGGAGAAATCAGGGATCTTCTCTGTCAAATCCTTTTACAGGCAGTTTACCAGCAATCAAAACCTAGTTTTACCTCAAGAGGATGTCTGGTTGTCCCATATCCCATATTCCCTCCAAATAGAAGAATCTTCAAGGAGAAAGAGAAAAGCATGGAAGAGAGGGTAGCTGTTATTAGTTCAACAGCTATTGGTGGGGTGCTAGTGCTTCCAGAATTTCAAGCACTGCGGAAAAAAGACTTTGGAGCTGATTTTTGGACTTCTCTGATTTCTGTTTTTGACTCCTGGAAATGTTGTTTTTGCTTCTTTGTGGTCATGCATTACTGTAATTTGGTGGGGGTGGCATCTTGTCACCTAGTTATGTTGTACTGTTTTTTTTTTATTTTAGCGATAAAATATTTCTTTATTTATCTTCAAAAAAAACATTCCCTCCAAAGTTGCATTCCTATTCCTCCTGCAGTTTTGTGATGTATTTCGAAAGAGAGGAATCAGAGGCTATTTCAGAATCAAAGCTGTTCTTAATTAGGTAATCAAGAAGACATTGAGTTCCATACACTCTTGGCTGGCTGCAACAGATCAATTTAGTAACATTTCCCATAAAAGTTATTTTGATCCTGCCACTCTGTTTTTGTAATCTTGAATTCTTGGCAGGATTGGTGCAGCATGCATAAACTTTTTGTATATTGTCTTATCATACACATGGTTTAAAGTATCGATACACCCCAATAGACCAACAAGGGTGTATCAATACTTTTTGTTCTAGGATTTATAGAAGAAGAGAAGAGAGAAGAAGGAGAAGAAGGAGAAGAAGAGGAAGAAGGATGTATCAAAGAGAGGGGTGTGTGTGTATTACTGTTCACACACTCAAAATTGTTATTTATAATTTGAAGAAAAACTACAAGAAAGCCCATACCTGGGTGTCCAAATACAAAAGTGAAAAGACTAAAACACTCCAAGCATTCTCAACACTCCCCCTCAAGTTGAGCATATATGTCAATCATGCCCAGCTTGACAAGGTTTTTGGCAAACTTTGGATAGTGAACACCTTTAGTGAGGCAATCAGCTAGTTGGTCTTCTAACCTTACAAAAGGAAGTCAAATCTCTTCAGTAACAACTCTTTCTCTTAAAGTGTCTGCCCACCTCAATATACTTTGCATGATCATGTTGAACAAGATTGTAAGCAATATTTATGGCTGCTTGGTTGTTACAATACAATCTTATTTGAGTATCTGTTTGGATGCCCATCTCAATCAATAAGGTCTTTGACCAAAGTAGTTCAAACACTCCATGAGCCATCACCCTATACTTTGCCTCAGCACTAGAACGAGCAACAAAAAATTATTTCTTACTTCCCCAAGAAACCACTTTGCCTCCAACTAAGGCAATGTATATATATAAGCCTCAATGTTTAGATTGTCATGATTGGAATACAACATCCCTTTACAAGGGCATCCTTTCAAATAAGCTAAAATTTTATTAATTGCTTGCATATGAGATGTTTTGGGTTCATGCATATATTGGTTAACTAAAGGAAGGTGAGAATCCATCATATGGATGGCCGAACCATGGAAGATGGCTGGGCAAAATTTCAAAAATTTTTCTTTAACCTTTCGGGAATCGTATTCCCTGTTTTAGAAAAACTGCATTTTTCTAAGATCTACCTTGCACCATAACTGGACCAGATTTGAAACCAAACAAGAGGGAGATGTATAACTGATACGGATTCCACAAATGTAGCTCCGAAAGTGGTAGTTCACACCCAAATCAAATCCCAAAACCAGCTTCCACTAAAAATGGCACAGCTTGAAGATGAAGCCGGTTCAGCAATGCAGTTATCAGCAAAACTGCAATCCAACACCTTGGATCGAACTGGGGAGGTGAGCACAATTTTTCTCTGTATTTTTCTTGCAAAAATCAGAGAAAGAATTGATCAAGATCAGACCCAAAAAGGTGAGATCGAACTAGGGTTTCTTGGGCAGCAAGAGGAGAAGAGAGAGAGCCGAAATGCAGAGTGATTTGAAGCAATTCGATCTCTTCTTCTTTTTAACCTTTAAAGAGCACCTCTCCTAATCGAATTAGGAGGTTTTATCCAAATCTTTATTTGGATCTAGACTCTATCATAAGATAGGTCTTATCCTCTTAAGAGAATGGGTGCTCCATACCCATATCCAAACCCAGATTCGCCCATGTGACATGACAGCTTAAGCAATCATGTGACATCTTGATTAATCATATTAATCATGGGCTTTATGCCCATTAACTATATGGCTCACGACCTAAGAGTGTTGCTGGCCCATTTATGTTTGATTTGTATAGTGTGGGACCACAACAATGACCTCACATAAGCCCACATGGGTTTGACCCAGCCTCTGTGAAAAAGCCTGGTCGAATTCACTGCCAAATGCAGTGAACCCCTGAGCTCATCACTATGGGCTCAAAATGGGCCCAACATTTACAATTAAATGATCCTTGAGCCCAATCATCCTATGAAGGCCCAAGGATAATGGACTTAAGTAAGATATAGCCTATCAGGTAATCAGCCCTTAATGGCCTCTTACACGTAACCTCTCAGCCCTCAATGATCAAACACTACCTGACAGGGAAGGACCTCTCCTCTGACTGCAAGGTGCAGTGTCACACTCCCTGCTCGGATGGCTCCTGAAAATTAAAACCTTTTGCAAACACTTTTCTTAAAACATATATATATATATATATATATATATTATATTTTGCAAAACAAATCTCAAACACGATTGAAATCCACTGCCAATAGTTTAGGTTTTCATCAGAGAGAGTGCAGTCCTGATCATTCACTTTGTCCGACAAAGGGGCCGATCCTATCACTATGATTACCCACTTAAGTGAATTCTCAGACTGCACCAATATACCCAGGTTTTGACCCATGATAGATTTCATCCAACACCCAGTGCAGTACCATAATCAAGTCTAGGGGATATGTGTAACTTTCCAGTTTTGCCCATTAATGTCCAAGGTTAAGGGCATAACTGGAAAGTGGTCCAGGTTCAGTGTTTCAATCAAGCACACACTACATGTGTATCAGGTCTAACCCTAGCAGCTGAGACAAGCTGCCCCAACTTCTTTGGCAGCACATCAATGTCAACCTTGGCAAGATAAACTCCCCAAACCTATCCGACTACTGAGAACATTCTAAACTAACATGAGTCTTATAAGTGTCCAGTTTAAGGGGCAAATTCACAGAAACATACCAAAGTCAACATGAAACAATGATGTACTTTTATTCATTTACAATAAATGTATCTGTACATCAATCTAATTGGAGATGCGGGCATACACTGTCTAACACTAACCACTCCAACAGCATAAGATATGTCAGGTCTAGTCAAAAAAAAAGATACAGGAGACAGCCCACCAATCTTTGATATATCCCTCTGTCTGGAAGAACTCCTCCAATATCACTCAACTTGTAGTTGGAATCAAATGGAGTTTCTACAGGCTTACACCCTAATTTCCCAACTTCATGGAGCAAAAGCCAAGAACATACTTCCTTTGTGACAAAAAAATTCCCATCATGGATCTTGCAACTTTAATGCCAAAAAAGTATTTAACACCACCAAGATCCTTAATCTCAAATTCTAAAGCAATGAAGGATTTTAACCAAGAGATACCTATGACGTCATCGCCTGTCACAACAATGTCATCAACATATACTATCAACATTGTTACTCTACCATCAACTCTTCTTATAAACAAGGTGTGATCTGCCTGAGATTGGAGAATCCGATCGTTAATAGCATTTCTAAATTTGTCAAACTAGGCTCTAAGTGACTGCTTGAGCCCATACAAGGACTTCTTAAAGCAGAAAACTTTTCCATCACTGTTAGGAAAGCTTACCACAGGTGGTAAGTCCATATAAACTTCTTGCAAATCCCCCTTAAAGAAGGCATTCTTTACATCCATTTGATATAAAGGCCAAGAATAGTAAGCGGAAAAAAACATGATTACACAAATAGAAATCATTTTAGCAACTAGAGC